AAAAAAAAAAAAAAAAAAAAACAGCTTAAATACAATATGCGTCTCACTACCTGAATCGAACAACACTAATTTTCATACGAATTGGGCAAAATTAAAATACAAAAAACAAAAACTACTCATGCAAACAAATAGAACAAGAAAAAATTCAGTCTCTGATAAACCGGTGATCGATTGAACACGAAATTACAGAAACAAAACTTACATTAACTCACAGTAGCCAAGAATTAGAGCCCTTTTACTCTAGGAGCGATTGCGAGAGAAATTAAAGGGCGCGTGCTGTGTGTGTGCGTACGAACGAGCTCACGCCCAACAGTGAGGACTGAGGAGTGAGCGCAAATGGTGAAGAATGAAGGAGAAAATAGCACGTTCCCAATTTCCTCTGCCAAATTCTGTACTGTGTTGCAGAACGTATTTGTACGATTGACCGATTTACCCTTTTTCTGTTGAGAGCCTTTCACATCTTCTGTGTGAGCGTTTCACATCTCGTAAATAAATTATATTTGAATTACAATAATAAATAATTTATAGTATTGTCATATTTTTACATGAATTTTATTCCATAACTTAACAAAATGTTATGCTTTTATTTGTATTTTTTATAATATTTTAATTTAAAAGTGTCGTGTTAAAAAATATGAATATCTAATTGTTACATATTATGTGTGCCTAACATCAACCTTATATAATTACATTTTATGACTACATTGTTCTTGCGAAGTTGAAATTCAATCATAACTTTTAACTTCAATTAGCAATTTAATCATATGTTCTCATTTTTGTGAATTTATGATACAATTTTTTATTTTGCAGATTTAGATATAGACCTAGGTTTTAAACGAGATGTCCAAACATATTTGCCCATACAATGTTCACTTGCTAAAAATGATTTGATTTTGAACAAAAAAATGATTGAATGAATAATTGGGTGAGATTTGAAATTTATATTTGAAACATATTTCATAAATAGCTTTTGAAATAATATATTTCAATTTTTTTGCTAGACTTTGTTGGTTTTACATATATTTAAATCTTTGAAAATATTTTGATATTAAACTCAATTTGCGACCAATGTTTAAAATTTATAAATATGGACTATAGTTATATTTGGTCAAACTAGTTGAACAACTAGCTGATAGCTGATAGCTTTTAAAATCTTAGCTGATAAGTCATGACTGATTGCCAAAAAGCTATATGATACAAAAAAAACAAAAAAAAAAAAGTTTTGTAAATTAACTTATAAGCTAAGTGAATTTTGAAATATTAGCAGAGACAACTCATGACTGATGGCTGGAAAGTTATTTGATATAATAAAAATATATGGTAAAATTAACTAATAAACAAGTTGAAATAAAATAAATATATTTAAAAAGCTAATTAAGAAACTTATGAGATAAGTTCAAAATTTAAAAACAAAAAAAAAATCGTCAAGGCCGTCGAACCATACTAAGCTTGTTTGAATACAACAAGTTTATAAACTTCATCAATAAGCTATAAGTTAGTTTGTGATGCTCATCAAACTCTATGTGAACGTGTACATTTGTCTTTCTGCCTTTTTTTTGTTATTTTTTATTTTTTTACAAAGGCACACCCCTAAAAGGTGGAAAATTACGGCATGATCTTCAACTTGTATATAACTGAGACCTTAAAACAACCAAAACAAAAGTGTTTGAACCCAGCCTGACAAGTGCGCAAACAAACAGCCTACATCACGAAGTGGGCCAAAGTACAACAAACACAAAACGGCTACTAAAATTTGAACGAGGGTAGCCAAGTTGGTCCATCCACACTAAAATATGTAGGCAGTGAGGGACGTCGTTAGGGTGGAAAGTGCGCCTATGAGAAATGGTGGCTCTGAGGCTGGTCAGGATGTCATCGGGTCAGTTCCCTCACCGAAGATGTGTGAGATCATATAGCAAACTGACTGAAGTGTGGATCAATGCGCATGAGCGGGTGTTGTATATGCCACGAGCCCTAGTGGCCTGAGGTCAGGAGGGTGCGACAACATCTAACTCAATCCAAATGTAAGTAAAGATAGAGGTTGCAATCTAAAGACCGATTTGGAGCGCTTGAACCTCTGCATTGTAGCTCGAGGATGCACGAAGAAGGGCATGGAAGGCGAAAATGAGAGCTCTGTTGTGATTTCTAATCAAGCCCCTGCACTTGACGGCTAAATCTAACGGGAGTCGAGTCTCAGTCAAACAAAGACTCTGGGACGACGGTGTTGGACAAGCGGCAACAATGTCGACACTAGGCGGCGGGGTGACGTGCAACTTGTTCAGTCTCTGAGTTTGGCCAGAGCTGTGAGGAAATAGAGATCGATCAACCTGCAAAACAGTGTTTTATGTGCTCTCACACTTTTTTTTAACACGAAAGGAGTCAGGTCATGTAAAATGAATGGTTTAGCTTAATAACCATAAACAAGACTAGTGTGTATCTCTACCTACGCACAACAAATTAATGTTAAAACAACATTGATATGAATTCAAAAATCAATTCACAAACCAATTCGTCCTACCCGAAGCACAACAAATTACCAAAAAAAAAAAAGAAAAAAAAAAACAAACATAATACAATAAAAACAAAAATATGAATTTAATGTTAAAAAAATTGATATGAATAAATGAACATAAAACACTTATATTAAAACGAAAGGGGAGAAATCTCGATCAACCGTCCTTGAGAATGGAGAAAAAACTTTATTTTGGATTCTATTTATGCCCGATTCAATATTAGCGGACGAATTAAAAAATAAAGATGGAAGATGATTAGATGAGAGGGTGGAGTTCGGGCGACCAATTCGAAATTAGGGGATTATTTTTATTTTTTTTTTTCTCAAAGAAACTTGGGGATCTATCTTCACGGGACTTAGTGAATTGTGAAGGTAATTTATTTATTTTTTTCTTTTTTTCTTTTTTTTTTTGGTACATGGAAAAGAGGCAAAAGCCTAGGTGCTAGAGATTAAAACGCTTCGTGGGTAAAAGACCCCGATAACATCATGATATAGCCATTGTCGAACATCATCCAGCGGGTCCTCTAATAGGTGAAATCCTCCCGGGCTTCGTGTGGCTATGCCAGCCATGCAGTCGGCAACGAAATTGGATTCTCGATATCCATGAACCAACTTCACTACCCATGCTCTTTCCAACAGTTCTCGTATAGAGTTTACCAATGAGCTATGGACCCTATGCTCCTCCCGCCCGTCTCGTATCATTGAGAACGCACAAAGGCTGTCGACTTCCGCTATAACCTGTCGATGACCCGTTTGCCATGCAAGGTTCAAGCCTTGAAAAAGTCCCCAAAGCTCCGCTCCGGTAATTGAGCCTATGTGCGTGTATAGGGGCAAACAAAAACAAGTATTTTTTTTTTTTTGACTTTTTATGTTAAACAACGTCGTTTGGCATCCAATTTTTTAATTAAATGGACGCCAAAACGATGTCATTTTTGCAGGCTAATAAAAAAATAAATCCTGCACTTTGCGTACAACCCCATTTTGCCATTTTCCACCCAAATTTTCTTTAAAAAATTGTAGTAACCTATCTTTAGCAGTATAAATTCAGCCTAGGCAATTGCTCAGGCTCGCCTATGCATGAATCCGCCCTGATTGTGACCAAGCTCTCCAATCATGTTATTGAGTGCAATGTTCTTTCTGGTGACCATACAGGTGATAAGGTGTTATCGGATGACAAAAACTTCTTATAATGTTAGAGTACCATTAAAATTCCAACGAAATCAGATTCCCATTATGGTTTCTACACAATGAACATAAACAACAGCTAAGGTTTTGAAGAATAAGTCCCAACGTGCACGAGCTGTCGAGCTCTACACTAGTTGCTATTATATAGTGATAGATTTGGGTTAACGTACAACGCAACGACTCTACACTAGTTGCTGTTATATATATATATACTAGTTTGATTCCGGCTGTGCACAGCACAGCCGGGCCCAATTTGGGGTAAAAAATTATCTTAATTAACAAATATGTGAGTTCTATTTAATTTGTAAATCTTTGGATTAT